AGAGAGAGAGAGAGAGAGAGAGAGAGAGAGAGAGAGAGAGAGAGAGAGAGAGAGAAGATGCTAATGCAATTTAAACTGTTTCAGAATCAAAAAAATAAAATAAAATAAAACATAACAAAAACCACAAACAAAAAGCTGGAAGATTCGTCAGTGCCAAGTAAGAGGCTAGACAAAGACAAAAGACAAATAATATTAGCAACAGAAAGCTATCAACCAAAGGTAAAGATAAAAACAAGGCCTGGAGAGATGGCTCAGTGGTTAAGAGCACCGTCTGCTCCTCCAGAGAATCTGTGTTCAATTCCCAGCACACACATGGTGGCTCACAACTGGCTGTAATTCCAATCTCTGGGGATCTGATGTTCTCTTCTGACCTTCATATGCACCAAGCAAGCACATGATACACTTACATACATGCTGTGAAAACACTCCATATAATGTAAATAATTCTAAAAAATAAAATAAAGATAGAAATTAATGAAATAGAAAACACACCATACAGAAAAGCCATAAATGGAGGTGAAACAGAACCAAGATGCTACTGATGGATTTCTTAGAAAGAGAATTTATTTTAATGTACAATTCCCCACTTTCTTAATATTGGCAACTCATTTAAAGATGCTACAGGCCGAATAGAACACATCTGTGCCACACCACTGGGTCACAATCTCTGCACAGACCAACCTGACTTACAAATATGTAAATGCAAAAGTCCTAAATATGCACAAACTAAAGCCAACAGTTTATTCGTGGTTAAGTGGTATTTCTTCCAGGAATCCAAAGATGGTTCAAATTTAGTGAATGTATCATTCAGGGTTTAGCAAATGACAGCAAGCCAAATCTGGCTAGTAGCAGTCTATGTACAGCAGGTGAACTAAGAATGGACTGCACACTTGCAAATGGTTGGGTAAGAATAAAAGCAAATAAATAGCTTTTCTGGGTACAGTGGTGCAAGCGTGGGATAGGAGGACTATGTGTCTGAGACCAGCCTGGGGCTACAGAGTGTGACAGCGATCTTAAGCAGATAAATACTTTTCTCCTGCCACTGGAAAAGGTATAAGCATTTCTAACTGAAAGAACAAATGAGTTAAGGACCAGGGATGCAGCTCAGTGGCAGAACACTTGCCTGGCATGTGTAGAACCAGAGCTCAATCCTAGATGAAAAGGAAAAAAGTTACAAAGGTATTTATGAAATATATGGCAAATATTAACAACAACAAAAACTTACAAACCAATGAAGACAAATGAGACAAGTGTAATATTCTGGCTCTTTAAGAGACAAGCCACACCCACTCCCTTCCTCCTTGCAGCCTCTGCCCTACTCTCCTCTCTTCCTGTCCCCTCTCTGGGAGAGGCAGCTTCTGCCTCTCTCCCCACTTCCTCGCTCCCCGCCTTCTCTGTCTCTCACCCCCCTTCTCCCCCTTTTCCTTCCCCTTCATAACCCAACTAATAAATATCTAACTTTACTTTACATGGTGTGTCTGTCTCTCTTGCCG